ACCCTAAACCCTAAACCCTAAACCCTAAACCCTACACCTAAACCCTAAACCCTAAACCCTAAACCCTAAACCCTAAACCCTAAACCCTAAACCCTAAACCCTAAACCCTAAACCCTAAACCCTAAACCCTAAACCCTAAACCCTAAACCCTAAACCCTAAACCCTAAACCCTGACCTGTTCCTGCATTGGCCCTCACTCCAGAGCCTGACCCCTCAAACCCAAGGCCGCAAATCTAAACCTGAGCCTAAACCCTAAACCCTAAACCCTAAACCCTAAACCCTAAACCCTAAACCCTAGGCCCTCTCTCACCCGAAACCCCTTATCCCCGCTTTGTTTTTCGCATCCTAAACCCTGTATACTCTAAACGCTAAACACCCCCAGATTGTGGTTTGGAGAAGTCTTCCTATGATTTCAGGGTTACGCAGCTCGGCCGCGGGTTTCTAGATCCACTCCCTGTACTAGGGTTTAGGGTTAAGGCATAGTGTTTAGGGCGTATGGTTTAGGGCTTACAGGGTTTAGAAGGTTTAGGGTTTCCCTACAAGCCTCATTTCCAACTCCCGCTTCGCCTTTCATGAAGCAAGCTCATGATCATGTTTTTGTCTCCCCTGCCCAAAAACTGTCATGTTTTTGTTTTTTTCGCTTCCGCGGGTTAGCGAAGTTTTGGGCTTCGGGTACACCGAACCCCAAACCCTAAATTTGTAGGTAGCTCATCCAACCCCTCGCCCCCACCTTCCTCCCTCCCTCCCTCCCCTGCAAATGGCCCAAATGAGGCATCATATTGCTTAGTCTTGTTTGCGGTGGGGGGTGGTCAGGGTACATGGGGCACAAACTACTCCAATTTTCAAGTTCCCCTAAACCCTACACCCGCAACCCTGAACCCTTTTGGCGTCTTTGTTCGGGACCCCTTACATCGTGTGCCATCTCCCAAGTCCGAATAAACACCTTCCCAAAGCCAAGCCACCCCTCCGCCGCCAAAAAACCTTAACTCTAGACCCTATAAACCCTAAACCCTATAAACCCTAGACCCCGAAAACCTAAACCCCCAAGCTGCTTCTGCGAGATGCAAGCAGCGCTCGCAGCGCAGCCGTCGGCGTTCGCAGCGCAAGGAGCCGCAGCCCCTGGCGCCGTCCTCGCCGCTGGCCTCACTGTCATATAGGTCTAGGGTTTAGGGTTTAGGTCTAGGGATGAAGGCTTATATCCGTGGGTCGCCATAAACTGGAGGTGAGGGTTGCTTGGGGTTCGGGGCTCATGGGGAACCCAAACCCAAAACCCACCAGGAACCGCAGCAAGTGTGGGAGGGGAGGGGAGGTGCTGAGATGCTGTTGGGGTTTAGGGTTTATAGGGTTCAGGACATTTTGGGGCGCTGGCCCTGAGGCACCCCCTGGCCCGCCGCCGCCTCCGCCGCCACCGCCGCCGGGTGAAGGCCAGCAAGTCAGTCCACGCTTGCTTAGGGTTTAGGGTTTAGGGTTTAGGGTTTAGGGTTTAGGGTTTAGGGTTTAGGGTTAGGGTTTAGGGTTTAAGGGTAAGGAGTGAACCCAAAAATGACAACCTAAACCTTCGATTCGGGGTCAGGATGTTGAGAGCTCAGGGATCAAGCACTGCATGGGTTTTTGGTTGTTTTAGGCGCGCATGGGCTTTTGGTTGTAAGGTTTGGGCTTGTGGCTCCCAGTGCAGCTTCCGCTTTGGGAACCCTGGGGCAGACGAAGGGCTGAGGGTTTAGAGGGCCGAGCGCTTAGGTGCGTAGAATCCCCCTCAGTACTTGGAAGACCAAAACCTGTGATTACCAGTATCAACTTGGGTTCGAGGCTTTGGAGTGTAGGGTCTGAAGGGTCTGGGGTTGGAGGGTGGCTGTTGGGCTCTTTCAGGCTTGGATTCGGAAGGCCTGTACCCTAAACCCTGAGACCTAAACCCCAAACACTAGATAGGCTAAACCCTAAACCCTAAACCCTAAACCCTAAACCCTAAACCCTAAACCCTAAACCCTAAACCCTAAACCCTAAACCCTAAACCCTAAACCCTAAACCCTAAACCCTAAACCCTAAACCTAAACCCCTTACATACCTTGCCTGGGGTTCGAGGAGGTCTGGGATCGCAAGGAGCATACCCGATGCGTGAAAATGTTGCGGCCGAGTGTCCAGGTTCCAACGGCCTTCAGGTCATCAACATGAGGGCATGGTTTAGGGTTAGGGTTTAGGGTGTAGGGTGCAGGGTGTAGGGGTTAGGAGGGTGTAGGGCGTTTAGGTTGCAGGGGTTTGGGGGCATAGGTGTATAGGAGTTAAAGTATAGGTTGGGCAGGGTGTGTCTGCTACCCAGGCCAAAGAGTGCCGTGGTGTTGAGGAGCCATGGCGCCACAACCCTCCTTCGAGCTCGCGGCAAGGCTCAAAGCCTCTCAGCAGATTCTTGCGAAAGAGCTGTGGGTCAATTCCTGGATGGTGTGGTGCTGGCTTCTCGGACATGCCGCAACGTGGATCTGCGTGGGCTTTGGCATGTACATCATGCCTGACGGCGTGGTGAATTTCTTTCCAGGCCATCTCCGACATGTTGAGCACCTTCATGCTGGAGCCACCAAAGGTGTTAGCATTTTTCAATGCACCACGGCGTTTGTTTGTGACTTCCCAGATCGCCCAATCTTCCCAAACATTTCAAAGCCGCAAGGATTCTACGCGGTCATCGTTGTCTTCATCTCCTTCGTGGCCTTTTGCAGATCGCGTGCTGGTGGAGTGGATGGTGCCTGGTTCCTCGGAAACACTAAGCGTCTATAAGCCTTATTCAACACCCTGAACCCTAACTTCACTACTGGCTGGTATAGACCTATGAACCCCCAAAACCAAAACCTTATTTCACAGGCACTGCGACTCCACCCTGAATCCCCCAAGATCAGGCCAGCGCCGCTGTACGTGATTTTCCCGCAGAACTACTCGGCCTTCGGGCTAGCCAAGGGGCAGCGGCCCGCCAGGGTGTTCATGGTCATCTTGGCTTTGCTGGGTTTGCCTGGTGTTGGCATGATCTTTCAGGCTTTCATCATCACTGATCCTAGCTTCGTCGGTTGGACTGCGGAAGGAGCTTTATTTTTTAGGATCGGAATGTGGGGAGCAGCTCTCTTCAGTTGTGGATGGTACATGTTGTCTGGATGCTTCTTTTGCGCACCTCGGTTTTCCGGAGCTGCCTTGGCAGACCGTTCGTTGCAGGAGCGCATTGCCAGCAAGTCTGAAATTCTGTCTGGGAAGATGGCGTCCAAGCAAGAAAAACCGAATTGGATGGAGTACGGAATGCTGCATTTGGAGATGCTCTTGTTTGCAGCAGACTTCGTCTCAGATGGCCTCGCCGGCTGGCAGTTCCTGCAGGGGGAAATGTATGTACTGTTCGCATTGCAACTGGGCATCGTGCTGGTGTCCCTTTGGGCCGAAACGCGACAGATGAGAAGGCATGGAAATCTTATGACATGGTGCCGTGCCTTCACAGAGTCCAGCCGCTATGGATGGCCGACCGACGAATTTCTTGCCATCATGCTGATGGAGAAGTCAGTCGAGGCTCCACTAACCTTCCTCCTACAAGGGTACGCTGTGTGGGCGGTCAGCTTACAGGCTATGGCGACGGAGGGACGGTCTGTAGCATTCTTTCATGGAAAGCTGGCGCTGGCCGCTTTCGGCGTGGCAAAAGGCGCTTACGTGCTGATTCACTTGGACCTTGCTCGACACCTCCACGCAGTCCAGGAGGATGCAGCAGCGATCCTCGGGGCTGCAGCACCAACAGCGCCCAGTAACCTTGTCTCCCCACCCGCCGTGGAGCTGCCGCCGGCCATGGCCGACGCGCAGCCCGCGGCTCCCCAGTCCGGTGCCCAGGATGCTGGAGCTTTCCCACCAGGCTTGAGCCCTCCACCTCCCAGAGCTTCCATGCCTCCGCTACCTCCGCTGCCCGGGCTTGAAGGGGTTATTCAAGTCGGGAAGCCGCGGGGCTTCGTCGACAGGGAGTAGTCGGGAGTCACACGTCCAAAGCTCCAATTCAACCTTGTGCTTTAAGGATGGTTTCTCGCGATCTGTGCAGCTTCCCTTCACAGCATTGTGTAGCTCGCTTTTCCGCCGTCTTGTTGAAGACAAGGCGACTGCAGGGCTGCTAGGACAAGGTTTTTGAAGAATCACAATGAAGAGCAAGGATTCGTTGTTCCGGACGCTCCTGCATTTGTGCAGTGTGAGTCGCCAAAAGCGGGGTGCCTGCGCACGGCTCAGGGGAAGATTGCGTGCAGCGCAGTTCTTATCATTTCTCATCTTTGTGGTACTTTACTGTAACTTTAGATCCTTAGCCTTTTTGGGTTTGTTGGGTTTCTTAATACGGCAGCTAGAATTTAAATTTTTAGCTACCCTTCTGAGTGTAGCCAAGTCGTCTAGGAGCTGCGGGAAGAGAGAGCAGCCATACCGGTAGATTAGGCCGATCCCAGCCCAAGCTCACAACTGTCAAGCCGCCCGGGCAAAGTCCTAAGCCAAGATTTGAGGTTGGGGTTCAAGGCTTTAGTCTTAACCTGGGTAGGCTCTTGGAACATTTCATATCTTCCCTTATGGGGTAGAGGAGGATCATATTCAGGGACATGTTTCAGAGGGTGTTTAGGGCCATCCTAGTACTCGAATGTCTTCAAGAATGTGATAGTTACAGTTGTTTCCACTTGTAAGAGACCATGTCCGAAATCCGCTAAGGCACAGGGTTTTGGGCTTAACCTCCAAGGTTTGTTTGTCTTCGCAGCTTTATGGCTTAGGGTTGTCGGGTTTGGGGCTGGGTCTTTTCTGTTGTTTTAAACTACAGAGGTTTACAGTTTCGGGTTTATGGGGGGCTTAGGATTTAGGGTTCGGGTTTATTGCCTAAGTTTTGGGTGTTCGGCGTTTGGGTCGGGGGTTTAGGGTGTTGGGTTTGGGGTGCGGTGTTTGGGGCCTGAAGGGTACAATGCTCCAATTTCTTGTTGTTGTAGCTGTTCTGTTGGGTGATGCTGGGCGCAGTGCTCAAAGTGTAGCGTTTGAGGTTTACTTAGCGGATCAGGGGACTTGGCAAGTGGAGCTGGTCCTGATAAGTACTTATATCCCCAATCAAGGCTACTTTAAGTGCCTCCAAGTAGGGTAGTTGTACGTGGGCTGATAGTTGGGGTCGCTGTAGTTCTAGCCCTGCGCCTACTCTAATGCACATACACCCCTGCTCAGAACTTCCCCAAACCTTCAAGTACGTCCCAAAACCGAGCTGGAAGTCAAATCGCATTCTTCTGCTATTGCGTCGTTCTGTCATCCAGCAGGTTTGCCGAATCCCGTGGATGACTTCCTGAAAGGTGCAACTGCTGATCGCTTCACGGTCGTGGGTTTGAGAGTTTAGGGCCTTTGGAGACCGCATGAACCCCAATTCAGGATCATATGCCCTGCACTACTATAGTCCTAATCCCCTATAATTATGGTCCATAGACCATAAACCCTTTCATAGGGTTCATTTGTCCCCAAGGATTTCGGGCTAAGTGCAATGCCTTGGTGATCATGGCCACAAGCCCCACTTCTTAGTCCCTTAGGCTTTAATGGTTGAGGGTTGAGGGTTGGCCGACATGTTGTTTCGGGGCTCTATTACAGTTTATTCCTCGCATGTTTTGGTACCAAAAGTACTGCCCCGAACCTCCGTGTTTGACTCGCGACCTCAACCCTGCAGCTTACGGGGCTTACGGGGTGCGGGGCAGGGATGCAGTGTTTTAGGGGATTTCTGCGCTTGATGGCTTGATGGATTGGCGTTTAGGGAAACCCTAAACCCTAAACCCTAAACCCTAAACCCGTTTGGGGTTTATAAGGTTTGGGGGGGGGAGGGCAGACGCCTGAAGTTATAGGGTCTCGGGGCTTTACACATAGTAATTAGTGCTGCTTACTAGCAAAGGGACTTGGGGGGACCCACGTATACCCCAAGAGCCCAATACCCCTTAACTAGGAACATCAAACTATATAGGGATCCTGAGTATGATTTAAGGTATAGTACTTAATCAAGGGTTATCGGGCTCTTTGGGTATAGTAATGAGGTACATGGACCCTGAAGGTATGTCCCAAGCCGTCCATGAACTAGGCAGGTTCAGGGGTTTAGGGTTTAAGGACATTGGAACATCTGAGGAAACCCTAAACCCTAAACCCTAAACCCTAAACCCTAAACCCTAAACCCTAAACCCTAGGGGGGGGGGGGGGGGCATGCAGTCAAGCACTACAATAAGGGTGCCTCTGGCGTAAGAATGGTTCTGGGGACCCACTCCTGCTCCAGTTACCGAGAAGTAGTACCCTGTGGGTTCGGTTTCCTTTCAAAAGCCCATTGAGCAGAAGAGGCGCCCTTTGTGTTTTTCTGGGTTTCCTAGCTGTCCCAAGCCCGGGTTTAGGGTGTTTAGGTTTGAGGGTTTAGGGTTAGGGGTTTAGGGTCGGGGTTTAGGGTTTAGGGTTTGAGGGTTTAGGTTTGAGGGTTTAGGGTTAGGGGTTTAGGGTCGGGGTTTAGGGTTTAGGGTTTGAGGGTTTAGGTTTGAGGGTTTAGGGTTAGGGGTTTAGGGTCGGGGTTTAGGGTTTAGGGTTTGAGGGTTTAGGTTTGAGGGTTTAGGGTTAGGGGTTTAGGGTCGGGGTTTAGGGTTTAGGGTTTGAGGGTTTTAGGGTTTTGGGGTTTTAGGGTTTCAGGGTTTAAGGGTTTAGGGTTCAGGGCTTCGGGTGATTCAGGCAGCTCAGTCAAGTCGCCGGGTGCCAGTGCCGGGCCCAACCCTGTGGACGCCTATCTTCAGGGAGGTGCCACTGGAATGGCTTCAGGGATATGTGGTTTAGGATTCAGGGCCGGGCTTAGGAATATGTAGTTTGCGTTTGAGGTGGGTTTGTCCCGTGTCTTCGCATTTGGTTCGAGTGGTTTGCAGGCTGCGCTGGCCTGGGCTGTAGTACAGCGAGGGCCAGGCTTACTACACTAGCTGAACTTCTAGCCGAAGGTATTGGCGTTAGTCGCAAGAGCAGCAGGAGGTGTCGCAAGCAGCAGCCGGAGTAGTAGTCGTCGTCATCATTTTCATGTCATTTTGGAAGCTACTTGGGATTGGGGGTTTGGGGCGTAGGGTCTCGGGCGAGCTTGGCTTGGGTAGGAATAGTCGTTGTAGTGATGGCAGGCGCGGTAGCACTAGCACTCCCCATTACAGTCAGCGCACGCAATGCACTTTAAACTTTTCTACAACCTTAAACCCTAGAGCCTAAACCCTAAACCCTAAACCCTAAACCCTGAACCCTAAACCCTAAACCCTAAACCCTAAACCCTAAACCCTAAACTAAACCCTAAACCCTAAATGGCATGCCGTCGGGCCGCGTGGTATTGCCTCATCAGTTGCAGCAGAACGTGTACCTCGGGCATTGCAGAGACTCCTCCGACTTGGGCAACACGAAGGATGTGTTAAAGATGCCCTGAGCCCTGAACCCTAAACCCTAAACCCTAAACTTAGGCCCTAAACCCTAAACCCTAAACCCTAAAGCCGATCTTCTATAAACCCCGGCCCCAATTCCCACTTGGCTTGCAGGCACGACAACGCCGCTGGAGAATCCCTTTGCCGGGGGCCTTGCTGTCGAGAGAAGCCATGTTTAGGGTCTGGTCTGCGGCGTCTGGTGCACTACGGGGCTTGCAATGTGGGCACCCCCAAGTATACCCGTAAACCCAAAACCCGAAAACCCCCCTAAACCCGAAGCCCCGAAACCCCTAGGACTCTTAAACCCGAAACCCCAAACCCTACACCCCGAAGCCCGAAACCCGAAACCCCGAAGTTTGCAAATGTGCCTTGCAGGCTCCTGGAGGGCAACGTCTCGGAGGTCCACCAGGATCCGCGCCCTTGACCGGGCTTTAGGGTGTAGGGTTTAGGGTTTAGGTTTTAGGTTTTAGGGTTTAGGGTTTAGGGTTTGCCTTCGAATCCTTAACCCCAATTCCCTGTAGAGGTCTAGGGTGTAGAGGCTTCAAGATGCAAAGTTCTGGGTTTAACAACCCTAAAACCCTAAAACCCTAAAACCCTAAAACCCTAAAACCCTAAAACCCTAAACCCTAAACCTGAGGACTCGACCACGCTTGCCACCGAAGCCACCCCAAACCCACGAGCGCCCCCTTTCCACTGCCTAGTAGCTGAGTGAGTACACGTTACACTTTTTGGGACACTCTAAACCCCTGTGGAACTGAAAGTGTACACCTTTTTGGGCTTATGAACTCAGCAACTAAGACTCCACCCTCAGCTTGGCAGCCCAATGGTACCCTAGGGTCTAGGGTTTAGGGTTTGCCTTCTCGAGCGTTGCAACCCAAGAAAAAGGGTGGCCCTTATTGCGATATGATTACTGGGCTACCAAGTAAATCCTGAACTGTAGACCCTAAATCCCAAACGCTCCAAAATCCGACCACCTTCGTCTCCCCAGCCCCCAAAGACACACGGAATCTCCATGCGTCCCAGGTACCTCATGTACCTCATGATTATATGCTTGGGCCACAAAGGTCCCTTTGTAGGAGGTACTTTAACGCCCAAGTATTCCCTACCTAAGTTCATGGACCCTTAAGGCCCTAGGAACAATTAAGTTGGGATGCTCCCCCTTATACTAACAGTCCTTAGTAGGGATTCCAATAGGGGGGGTAGTATAAGCCCTATTAAGGACGTAGGAGGAACATCCCAAGCCAGAAGTATAGACTCCCAGCTTCACATTCCCAACGTTCAGAAGCCAACAGACTTGGTCGCAGGAGCCTTTGGCCAGGGCATGGGAACTGGCTCCGGGGGATTAACCCTGGGCCCGGTGGGCGGAAATTTTGGGGGCGGCTGCGGAAGCTTCGGCTGCGCGGGTGGACTGGGAGGCTGCGGAGGCTGCGGTTCTGGTGGCTGCGGAGGCTGCGGTTCTGGTGGCTGCGGAGGCTGCGGTTCTGGGGGCTTCGGAAGCCTCGGCGGCTGCGGCTCCGGTTTGGGTGGGGGCTGCGAGGGCCCAGGGCCGGGTGCTGGTGTGGGTGCAGGGCCCGCTGGAGGCGCTGCGGGGGGAGAGGGAGGGTGTCAAGGGTTACTGGTTTGGGGATCGGCATTCAGAAGTGAGGAACATGGAGAGAGAGAGAGAGCGAGTTTGAGGATGAAGTTTACCAGTAGAGCTAGAGGTTCAGAAGGGTAAATTTTCACAAGGGGAGGGTACTCCTAATGTACCCCCAAAATTCGACAATCCTTCTTAGAGAAACCTTCCGATATGAAACCCTACACCCTTTTTAGAGGATAAGAACGAGTGGTTCGTTCTAGAGCTCAGGGATCACGGGCTTCCCTACTACCCCCCCTCTATACTACCCCCCCTAGGTCCCCCCCTTAAACAGCCTTAATTCGGCTTATTTGTCCCTAAGTAGCCTCTAACTCTGAGGGGGAACCTCGGGCTAGGGGGAGTATGGAGGGGGTAGTAGGGGAACCCATGACATCGGATGTTGCGTCGAACATCTCCTGAGTTTGGATGGTTTGGGGCTTTTGGGTTTAGGGCTGGGGCCTATGGATTCGATCAGCATTGAGTTGAGGCGGTACTAATGCACTTCCAAACGTTGTGACCTGCAAAGCGCGTCCATGAATTTTACATACATATGTGTATATATATATATATATGTATATATACATGTGGTCACTTCTCTCTAAATTGGGGGTCCCTTTTGGGGTTACTCGCAGTTGCTAGCATAAGGCGGCCTCATATTTAGGGTACCCAAAAAAGGGACCATAATTTTGAGAAATGACCGTCTGTATACATATATATCTATAGAGTTGAGTATGTATATGTGTGTGGGCCAGCGGGATGCGGAAGAAAGATGTCTTCAAATGTCCCTCTGTGAGGGCGCAAGAACCCAAGAGCTATACATCCGGCTCGATGTGATCATTCCTGTTGTTCGGGGCACAGTTTCTTGCCAAGCTGGGTTGTGCTTTGGGATAATTGTTAATTCCCCTTCTCTCCTTATAAGGGAACCTGCTCATAAACAATTTTCAAAGGGTTTTGAAGCACAACCAAGCAAGCCCTTTGTCAGTTTCCAAGGGTATTTCGGGCATTACATGATGGCTGCAGTTAGTCCTGAAACCGGCTCGGTGATCGAGACCGAGTTTTCAGCCCAAAGGCTTAAGTTCAGGGTTGAGGGACCCCAAAACCCCTTAAAACCAACCCCCCCAAGCCCCCAAAACCCCCGAACCCTTACCCCGACACCAAGGACCCCAGCCGGTGGAGCCCCTTCCCACTCCCCCTTACTGTGTTCTCTGCGAAGGAACTTACTGTACCCAGGTTACACAGCGATTATTCCGTGTCCTTGTTCTAATAACTTAGTCAGTTTCTTAACAAGAGCCCAGTTACGGCACATCAGGCTTTGCAGTGCGTAGACTACAACGACCGTACACTGTGGAACTGTGGCCGAAACCTAACCCTACACCCTAAACCCTAAGTCCTAAACCCTAAACCCTAAACCCTAAGTCCTAAACCCTAAACCGAGTGAGGATAGCCTCTGTTTTGGGGTTTGCCTTTGGGGGGGCTTTAGGACCCGCCATGCAAGAACCGTATAAACAGGACCCTACGCCCCTAAGCCCTACACATCTCTAAGCCCAAAAGCCTAATTAATCCCTCGCCCTAAACCCTAAACCCTAAACCCTAAACCCTAAACCCTAAACCCTAAACCCTAAACCCTAAACCCTAAACCCTAAACCCTAAACCCTAAACCCTAAACCTAACCCTAAACCCTAAACCCTAAACCCTAAACCCTAAACCCTAAACCCTAAACCCTAAACCCTAAACCCTAAACCCTAAACCCTAAACCCTAAACCCTAAACCCTAGCCTAAACCCTAAACTCTAAACCCTCTTCCAGCTGGGAAGGTGGCTCGGTCGATCCTGCACGGGCCATGCAGGCAAGTTCAGCTGAGGGGTTTCAACGGTTCATGGGTACTTATAACCCCACGCAGAAGTTCTACTTATAGGCTTAGGGTTTAGGGTTTAGGGTTTAGGGTTTAGGGTTTAGGGTTTAGGGTTTAGGGTTTAGGGTTTAGGGTTTAGGGTCAGTAGCTGAGTGAGCACACTTGCACGTTTTGGGATACTAGAATCCCCTATAGAACTGAAAGTGTACACTTTTTTGGGGCTTATGAACTCAGCAACTAAGTAACGTACCTTTAAGCCCCTGAAGTGCCCTAATATTGTTATAAGTACAGTTAGAAGTACTTATAACCCCACTTATTAGTCTAGTAATAAGGCATTTATAAGCCCCTTAGAAAGCCCAATGTGGTTATATTTGGGTTATGAGTGCAGTCATCATTGGGGTATAATGGGGTGACTTATAACCCCAACTTATAAGTCTACTTCTGACCTACTTAGGGGGACTTAGGGGGTTTATAAGTGCGGCTATACTTTGGGTATATTGGGGGTATAAGTGCATATGAGTAAGGGTCACTTATACTCGAGTTCAGGGTTCAGGGTCTAGCCTAATACTACTTGGTTCTCAACCCTAAACCCTAAACGCTAAACCCCAAACCTACTTATCGACTCTGGCGTCCAAGTATATACTAATTAGCTACATTGACCCTTAGGGTATAGCCTAAACCCTAAGCCCGAACCCCTAAACCCTAAACGCTAAACCCTGGGAAAAAAATAAAACCACAAGTATATGGGAAGGAGGTGCATGGACCCTTAGAGAGGGTGTGTGTTTAGGGGTTAGGGTTTAGGGTTTAGGGTACAGGGTACTAGGGTTGAGGGTTTAGGTTTAGAGTTTAGGGCATAGGGTTTGGTTTAGGCTGCTCTTGGAAGTGTCTGGCATCCGGTGCGTGCAGGGTTTAGGGTTTATAAGGTTCAGAGTTGCCATGTTTCCTAAACCCTAAACCCTAAACCCTAAACCCTAAACCCTAGGGTTTAGAGGAGATAACGGTGAGCGTGTCGGCTCGAGAGCCCAACACGGGCTCTACAGGCACAAGCTCAGTAGCCAAAGGCTAGGGTTTAGTTGGGTCTTCGGCAGTGTTGACGGCTGAGGGTTCAAGGTTTAAGGTTTAGGGCGTTAGGCTTTAGGGTTTAGAAAGTTTAGGGTTTAAGGTTTTTCTGGGGTTTATTCGGAAGACATGCTGCTTCTATGGGTCGTTTAGCTTTGAACATAACACGACTAACCAACATACACAATATGGTGAGTTCTCTACCTTTTTGGGTACCCTGAGCAAGAGGGGCCGCCTTGTAATAAGGACCCAAAAAAAGGACCATAATTAGTGAAATCACCATATATCTTCATAGCCCCAAGCCACCTCCAGTTGGGGGCTTAGGGGTTCTGGCTCTCATGGGGTTCTACCTTGGACCCCTAAGGTTGTACCCTTGTCCAAGAGGGAATCGATGGGCCATACTGGGAGGAAACTTAAAAAAGGGTTTAGGGTTTAGGGTTTAAGGTTTAGGGTTTGAAGTTTAGGGTTTAGGGGTACGAGTCTTAATCCCTTGAAGCTCGTTGCTTGAGGTTTAGGAGTGGCAAACGGTTCTGCACGACGGCTTTTTGAGCTACAAAACGACGGGCGCCCTCAATCCAAGGGCCGCCAAAACCCGAAACGTTTTAGGATTTAGGGTTTAGGGTTTAGGGCTGAGGGTTTCTAAGACACCCCATAGGGTTTGGGGTGTCAGATTTTGTGGTTTAGTGGGTTTAGTTCGAGTCTATACACGCTGGGATGGACAAGATGAGATCGGTCTTGTTCTCAGAGTAGCAATGTCGGCTGAGCCAGACGGGGTCAACGATTCCGTTCAGGTGGGGATCAATGATGTGCATCAGGAAGAGGTCTTCGAAAAAGCACCGCCGACCACTGGATTTATGGGCATCGATGAGTCCTCTCACGTGCCAAGGCCTCTCTTGTGCGCCAGTCTCATGGCCACTCTGATCTACTGGCTCCTGTTTGTGTATTCACAAGCCGTGCACCAGCACCGTGGCTGCTCTTGGGAAGTTGTTGTTTTGTGCGTGTTTAGGGTTTAGGGTGTAGGGTTTAGGGTTTAGGATTTAGGGTCCAGGGTTGTTTTGTGACTTTATGGTTGTTTTGAGACCTGCCAGATTCGAGACGACTCTAGGAACTCTGCTGTCGCCTGGGAGATGCGAGCCGCTTTCCAGAATCTCGACACCAACGTGCTCTTGAGCCGGGGCAAGTACGTCAAGCACGGTGCGGACAGCCCAAATGAGGATGCTGTGGAAGACTTCGCGGAAGCCTTTGACTGGCTTGTGCAGGGATACGTCCCACTCCTTTGGCAGGATACACCGATGGGTCGGGGGCGCTTGGCCGCGCGGCTAAACCTGGTTGGTGGTGTGCACCTGGCAAGGCAGTGGAGCACGCCTCTACAGTGTGAAGAGAACCCCCAGCTCTGGATGGACATCATCTACAACGAGTCATGCTCCGATGGGGCGACAAGGAGAGACGGCATGCAGGACACGCACTGGCTCGACATCTCGCAAGACTTGGATGCTGTCCTTGCCCACCTGAGCCACTTGCAGAACACCAGCTGGCTCTCGGCTGACATCACTGGCTTGAGCTTCTTGGTGGCCCGGTGGTACCCTTTGCCCGTTTATTGGTTCAAGGCTCCCTTATACAGTACCCCAAACCCTAAACCCTAAGCCCTAAACCCTAAACCCTAAACCCTAAACCCTAAACCCTACTTATCATAGTATGTCTACCGGGCTACCAAGGCTTCAAAGCCCTTTTCTACAACCGCCGGAGCGAGCACTTCGCACTCCTGGCCTTCGACTATCTGCTGGAACCTTGGGGCACCCATGTGAACCCTAAAAAGGGTTTAGGGTTTAGGGTTTAGGGTTTAGGGTTCAGGGTTTAGAGAGTTTAGGGAGTTTAGGGAGTTTAGGGTTTTTAGGGTTCTGGGTTTAGGGTTCACATTTTGTCACAGGGGTCAGAGTAGTATCGGTTTTGGAGGCCTTAGGGTTTATCTATCTGTGGTCTTTTCATGGTCCATATACCACCATAGAGATTCGGGTTTATAAGTGTAGGGTTTAGGGTTACAGATTTGAGTAGTGTAGGGTATGTGAGCCCAATTTGAGAGTTCAGTTGCAACCCGAGGAAGAGAGCGGATACCTGCACCGGAGGAGCAATCTACTGATGATCCCTTCGAATGTCTACACAGACAGCCCGCACCTGGGGTTTTTGTTTAGGGTTTAGGGTTTAGGGTTTAGGGTTGAGGGTTGAGGGTTTGGGTTTTGGGTTGAGGGCACATCTACCTGGTAACAAGGACAAGGAATCGTAATATGGGGTGGGGGTGGGGAGGGGTTATACGATCCCTCACTAATTTGTACGAGTATCTTTGTATGACTTTTCCTGAACCCCCAACCTAAACCCTACCCCCTACATTTGACACCCTAAACCTTGAACCCTAATCGGGACGGGGGGGGGGGGGGGGGGGTGGCGGCTTCTTGCGGTTCACGAGGAACTTGGGATGTTCCCCCTATGCTAACAGTCCTTAACAGGGATTGCAGTACCTCCTATTTTAATCCCTATAAGGACTCTTAGTATGAGCGGGAACGTCCCGACCCTAAACCCTAAACCCTAAACCCTAAACCCTAAACCCTAAACCCTAAGCCCTAAGCCCTAAACCCTAAACCCTAAACCCTAAACCCTAAACCCTACACCCTACACCCTAAACCCTAAACCCTAAACCCTAAACCCTAAACCCTAAACCCTAAACCCTAAACCCTAAACCTAAACCACGAGGAACTTTATTCTTTCCAGTGTGTCGGCCGACGTGCTCGCAGCCCTCGGCCTAACGGCGTGCGTGGTGGTCGAGGTGCTAGTGGCAATTTGGGTCCCAATTTGAGGGGGTTCAGGGCTGGGGGGGGGGGGGGGGAGAGTTTGGGGTTTGGGTTTAGGGCTTTGGGGGGGGGGGGGGGGGGGGGGGGGGGGGGGGGGGGGGAGGAACTTCTCCGTTGGCCTTACGAATCCCCAAACCCTGAACCAAAATGATCTCGAATGTAGCAGAGCCCGAGCATGAACTTCGTGAGATCTCCCGAACAAAAACACTCAATCCCAAACCGCAAGTTGTGAAAGTTACGGCCAGTGCAAAATTTCCCTATGGAACCGCTTGGCTTAGGGATTAGGGCCCTGAGTCTTAGGAGCTGAGTGAGTACACTTTACACTTTTTGGGATACTATAACCCCCTATCGAACTGAAAGTGTACATTTTTTTGGGCTTATGAACTCGGCAACTAAGAAGTGCGCTGACAGCGAAGCCTTTTGTGTTTTAAAGGATGCCCCCCCCCCCCCCCCCAACAAAGGATTTAGGGTTCCGGGCTGCTTTGGGTGCAGGCTCCTTGTCCCAGTTTAGCGCATGATGGAGGTGCTCATGTGGTGGCAGACATGGAAGAACCATCACATGAAGTCCTTCATCTTCAACGTCTACCGCGTCGTGAGCGTTGGGCAGATTGTTGGGGGCGTGGCGTACCTTGCTCCTAGGCACTTTTTCATCAGGTGCTTTGCTGTTCCCCCTGTCCCCCGCCAAAACAAGGCATGCGGTTTAGGGTTTGGGGTTTGGGGTTTAGGGTTTAGGGTTTAGGGTTTGGGGTTTAGGGTTTAGGGTTTAGAGGGCTCAGGGCTCATGGTGTTCGTGTATACCCATGGAAGCTTGGAACGTGGCTGTTGAAGATCCCACTTCAAGAGCAGCATGAGGCCCGTGCCCAGCGCAGACCTTCTCCATAGGCATACCCCTATAAGTTGATCCAACACCCTAAAGAGCCCAACAGCCCTTAGCTAAGGAATATACCTTCAATCCTACTAAGGACCCCGATACAGTTCAAGGAATATTTCTTAATTATAAAGAGGTATTGGGCTCTTTTGGGACAAACCCTAAACCCTAAACCCCAAACCCTAAACCCATTCTCTGTGATCAGATTGCCTCCATTCTGCTGGGTGCTGGTTTGTGCTTTGCGGGGTTCTGTAGGGTCTAGTGCGTAGGGTGCAGGGTTTAGGAAGGGGGGCCCTGAACCCTAAACCCTAAACCCCTAAACCCCTAAACCCTAAACCCTAAACCCTAAACCCTAAACCCTAAACCCTAAACCCTAAACCCTAAATGTATGTGCGTTGTCTCCAGAGCACTCGCACCCAATGTGTGTTTTTCCCTCAAACCACTTTGGGTTTAGGGTTTAGGGTTTAGGTTTAGGGTTTAGGGTTTAGGGTTTAGGGTTTAGGGTTTGGGGTTTAGGGTTTAGGGTTTAGGGTTTAGGGTTTAGGGTTAATGTGCCTTGAGCTACGCTCGATACTTGCAATATCAAATCTTTGTGGTACTTTACTGTAACTTTAGATCCTTAGCCTTTTGGGTTTATGGGGTTTCTGAATAAGGCAGCTAAAATTTTGATTTTTAGCTACCCTTCTGAGTGTAGCCAAGAAATGATGAGCCTGCAACCTTGCAAAGTATGCCTATGGCCTTCCTGGCGACACTGAGCCCCTGCAAGAATTGCAACCTGCATGCCCTAATCTTTAACCTGCTAAGCTCTGCACATGGGCGTTGAGTACATGCCTTATCAACATGTACCTGTACCAGGACCCCCAAGAGTTGTCCTTGCTTTACGTTTTTCGGGTTGAGATGTAGTCAAGACATCCGACTGAATGTGTGGGGCAGTATTGCAGAATGAGGGGCGCCGGACGAATTGGTAAGCGGCAACCCCAAACCTCATCCGCCAATAAAACCATGCACATCATTTTATTCCTTAGGGTTTAGGGTGTAGGGTTGAGGGCTTGGGGTCCCTATTCCCTGCAGTAAACTCCAGGAGGGTGGAACATGGTTTAAGGATGGCTAGAGCTGGGATACCCTTTAGTATACCTTTTGGGGTATGAACATAAGGAATAAGGATGTTCCAACTTTTTGGAGTTTACTGTTAACCCTAAACCCTGAACCCTAAACCCTAAACCCAAAACCCTAAACCCTACACCCAAAACTCACCTAAGGCCTTCTATGCCGTCCTGGGCGCCTCCGTCGACAGACTCACCGAGAAACTGCGTGTGTTCGCCTCCCTTCCAGAGGGAGCTGTCGAGCCATTGGCCCTGAGCAGGGAAGAGGGTTTAGGGAGTGCGGTTCCGGGTTTGGGGTTTAGGGCGTTTAGGGTTGAGTTTATCATTATTATAATTATTCTTATATAGTATATATATATTTTTTTTTTTTTTTTGTGGGGGGGGGGGGGGGGGGGGGGTGGTTTGGGTTTTTGGTTCAGGATTTAGGGTTTATGGTTCAGGGTTTAGGGTTTAGGGTTTCAGGGTCTAGGTTTAGGGCGTGAGGGTTGAGCATTTAGGGTTGAGGGTTTTTTGCCGTTGGGGCTTTAGGGTTTTTGGGGCACTGCCTGGGTGACATGTGAAATAACTGGTGCAGTCCTGCAAGCTGAGTGCAAACATGCCTTCAGCAAGAGAGACAGGGAGCGACGGAGGGAGAGACATTATATCTAGATAGATGGACGGATACAGATAGATGGCTAGATGGATAGATGAATAGATTGCACTCAGCGGCGTTTTATGATGACTCCCTTATTTGTTCTCTCTCCTTCTCTCTCTCTCTCTCTCTCTCTCTCTCTCTCTCTCTCTCTGTTGCTTGGTTGGATCTAACTCGGATTGGGGGGCTTTGCCGAGGTTCATGCTACAGGTTCAAGTTGACAGGTTTGGGCTCGTTGGGGTCTGAGCCTGGGGGTTAATTTTTTTTCGGGTTTCGTGTATATCCCAACGCTGTCAACATGGCTGAAGCCACAGCCCTAAACCCTAAACCCTAAACCCTGAACCCTAAACCTTGAGAACGAAGGCCACCGAACGTCACCGGCTCGGCGCAAGAGCGCCTCGTGCTCATGACGGACATCTACACCCTCACCGAGGACGCAGCGACTCTGACTCTTGACGTCAACTTGAGCTCGGGAAGCACATGAACCCTAAAAACGGGTTTAGGGTTTAGGGCTTAGGGCTTAGGGCTTAGGACTTAGGGCTTAGAGTTACCGAAAACCCTCAAAGCTGTAAAACCCTAAAGCCCTGCCAAACCCTAAACTTAACCCTTCACAACCTTTTAAAAGCTCTAAATGCCCTGAAACCCTGCAAAAAGCCTTAAACCCTTTGAAGCCCAAAACCTTGGTTCCCCCTACACCCTGAACTTGGCCCTTGAACACCCTAGAACCCGAAATACCCTAAATGCCCGAGAGTCCTGGACCGCAAACTGAACCCTAAAAACTCTAGATGCCCTAAATGCCCTAAACCCTAAACAACCCTCAACCCTAAACCCTAAATGCCCCAAAGCCACGAACTTCCCGGCCGCGCAAGAATTTCGGCGAGGTTCCGTGGGACGCAGTGGCTGTGCTTCTGGTACATGTGGCTGGGCAGCTGTGATCCCTTGAGAGCACCTTCGGGTTTAGGGTTTAGGGGTTTAGGGTTTAGGGGTTTAGGGTTTAGGGTTTAGGGTTTAGGGTTTAGGGTTTAGGGTTTAGGGTTTAGGGTTTAGGGTTTAGGGTTTAGTAGGGTTTAGGGGTTCGGGTTTAGGGTTTAGGGTTTAGGATTTAGGGTTTAGGGTTTAGGGTAGAGTTTTCTGGTATTTCGGCGGTGTGTAGTGGCTGCAGCATTTCGGAGTAGATGAGGGGCATTTCTATTCTCGTAAGTACCACCATGTCCTTCAATCAGCTGAGCCCTGAAACTTAAATCTTAAGCCTTGCGCCCTCAACCCCTAAACCCCAAACCCCAAACCCCAAACCCTAAACCCTGAACCCTAAACCCTAAACCCTAAACCCCAAACCCTAAACCCTAAACCCTAAACCCGAAACCCCAAACCCTAAACCCTAAAACCCTAAACCCTAAACCCCAAACCCTAAACCCTAAACCCCAAACCCCAAACCCTAAACCCTAAACCCTAAACCCTGAGAGCCAGGCTCGTGATCATGCTGAAGTTTGGTGAGGGGCTTCCGGCCTCACCACGGCTGAAGGCTTAGTGGCTGAATGAGTATGCTTTACACTGTTTTAGGGTTGAGGTTTTAGGGTTTAGGGTTTAGGGTTTAGGCTTTAGGGCAACTGAGAAGGTCTTCCTGGACACGCTGTATGACGGCATGGGGAATATCCTGCACCGTGGCGTGGGTTTAGGGTTTAGGGTTTAGAGTTTGGGTTTTGGGGTTTAGGGTTGAGGAGGGTTTAGGGTTTAGGAGTCTAGGGTTTTAAGGGTTTAAAGGTTTAGGGTTTGGGTCTAGGGTTTATAGGGTTTTGAGAGTTCGGAATTGGCAGGGTTTTAGTCTAGTGAAACATCAACAATCAAGTAACGAGAGCGAACAATTAACACCATTGCTGGTGTACAAAGCTAGGTTGAGGATTTTGGTATAACATAACATCAGCAGCATCGGTGTTGGTTTGTCACAGGATCTTTCTCTGCCCGTCTTGTACTCTGCCACAAGTTGTCTCCTCTGGGAGTTTACGAAAATAACGGGTTCAGGGTTTAGGGTTCAGGGTTTAGGGTAGAGGGTTTAGGGTTTAGGGTTTAGGGTTTAGGGTTTAGTAGATCCCCCAATAGTAGGATTCCCAAAGAATTAAAGAGCCCTAAAGATGGTACCCCCCCCCCCCCCCCCATTTTCGGAAACCCCCGGCTGTTGCCAAGCCTTCTGTGCGACCTGGTGTTTGGGGGGGGAAACCTTTGGGGGGTGGTGGGGGTGGGGGTGAGCAGAAGTTAGGGTATTAAGGCGTTTGGCTGCAAGTGACCCCTAAACCCAACAAAAACCTAAACCCTAAACCCTAAACCCAAAAGCCCTAAACCCCAGGTACTTTTTCATCGTCTTCTGCGTGGTCTTCACAAGCTTTGCAATGGGTGCCCATTTCTTATTTGGCCATGTCCTCTATTCTTGGTCCCGATCGCTCCCTGGCTCTCGCTTAGAACCCTAAGCCCTAAGCCCCTAAACCCTAAGCCCTAAGCCCTAAACCCTAAGCCCTAAACCCTAAACCCTAAGCCCTAAGCCCTAAACCTTATAAGGTTCTTAAGGGAGGGGGGGCGGGGCTTCAAGAGGAGTGTGGAGTGTTAGGGAACCTTGGGTTACATACCCAGCCTTGAGCCCCCGCACCCTGAAGATCCCTATAAATAACCCCGAACTCTACTGTAGCCCGCCCCATGATCAACGGCTTAGGGTTTAGGGTTTAGGGTTTAGGGTTTAGGGTTTAGGGTTTAGGGTTTAGGGTTTAGGGCCGGTTTGCGGTTTAGCTTTGTGGTGCCCTGAGACCAGTGGGATACAGTCTGCCCGAGACGCAAAGCCCGCGGCACCCGACATTTTCACACCCCAAGAACCTGACATTTTTGCGCCCTGCAACCGCGAGGTCTAGAGCCTAGGAATTAGGGTTTAAGGTTTAGAGTGTAGGGACCAAGGTTCTTGCCGTTTACATCGTCGTTCAGGGTATTGATGGGCGACTTCGACTTCATGGCGATGTACGCCATTGCACCCGTGAGCGCTATATGCTGGTTCACACTCTTCACATTGATGGTTGGGTTTGTGCTCATCAACCTCTTCATCGCCATCGTAACCTTCTCTTTCACTCGCGTCCAAGAACAAGCTATCGGCCATTCAACGCACGATGCGTTGCTGGCTCTGGCGCACCATATACATAGAATGGGAAGTAGTCGGACCCTCACCACTAAGGCAGCCCGGGTGGCCTCGATGGCGTCGAAGCTTTCGAGAAAGAAGGCCAGTGACAAGAATGACGTTGACGCCCAGCATGAGGAAATTCAGTTGGAGCCTGGCCAGCCCTCGGACGCGGCGTCTGAAGTGGAGTCCTTGTGTATTCATAACGAAAGGGTCTGAGCTCCGATTTCTCGGTGCGAGAAGCAGGCCCCTTCCTTGCCCCTTAGCTCTGGGAGCGGGCTTCTGGGACCCTGCGTGGATTTCAGCCTCGACACCACACGCAGAAAAAGCATCAACGGCCGGCTCGTTCTCTGGCGGCGCTTGGGCTTGGAGTGTAGGGTGTTCGGTGTTAGTTTGAAGTATAGTAGAAGCCAAAAAGTTGGAAACTCAACAGCCTCAATCCCTCAGAGTAAGGTATAGGGAATCCCAGCACTATTTGTCCTTAACAAGGTTTTGCAGCTTTTTGGGGTTTACTGTATCACTTCGTAATTCGAGCAAACCCTGTCCTACGTAAGGAGCTCCCCAAGTGTTCCAAGTGCTTGGGACAGGTAACACTCAACCAGGCAACAATCCTGGGTTTTGGAGTACTACTTGAATACTTGTTTTGGTTCTGGCTTCCTATTATAGCTACTTATGCCTAAAAAAGTTTATACTTTTTTCCACGGTCTACCCCACAGTAGGGCAACTGCACGACACCGCAATAGTTGCAATGTTAGGTTTAGGCTTAGGGTTCACGGTCGTTTCGAGTCTCACAAAGTTTTTCACAAGCTGCGCGGACAGTGGTCCTACTTGACAAGCAGTTGCAAAGTCTTGTGGCCTTTCCACTTAACATTGTCATATCCGGTATCCCAAAACCCTAAACCCTAAACCATGCAACTCTAAACCCTAAGCCGACTGCAAGAACAACAACAACAACGCAAGAGGGGGGAGACATCTTTTGATGTCTTGTTTGTAAAGCCCCGGCTGAGGGTTGAACAGCGTTTGGGGTTTAGGGCGGGTATAGGGTATAGGGTTAGCCCCCAAGCCCTAAAGGGTTACGGGCTTAGGAACCCCGAATTCGGTACCCTAAGCCCTAAGCACGCGTCGGGTTGGGGTGGAACTTCGATAGGGCTTGAGTCATATTCATATTTGTATATTCCATGTTTTTTTTGTTAGGGGGGGAAAAAGGGTGTAGGGTTTAGGGTTTCAGGTTCAAGGGTCGAGGTTTCAGGGTTTCGAGGGTTTAGTTGGACCTTCACCTCAGTACACCCCCCACTCCCCAGATGTTGCAGGATTAGGGCTTACGGCTGGGGGGGGGGGGCCCTTCTGAGGGTAGTTTCATGAGTTTAGGGTTTAGGGTTTAGAGCCCTGAATATGGTCCCCCCTAAACCCTAAACCCTAAACCCTAAACCCTAAACCCTAAACCCTAAACCCTAAACCCTAAACCCTAAACCCTAAACCCTAAACCCTAAACACAACACCCGACAGCCAGGACCTCTTCACCAGGAAGAAGCGGTAACCCCAACTGAAGCGCAGACACGGATTTCAGATCGGAAGCTTCGCCCGACCTGGCGGACCGCAAAGACACGAAGTGGGCTTAGTGTTTAGGGTTTAGGGTTTAGGGTTTAGGGTTTAGGGTGTAATATTTAGGGTTTAGGGTGTAATATAGGAGGTCGCAATAATTACGAATATTACGAGTAGTATTTTATAGATATACTATAATCCCAAAACCTTATTCTAACTATTCCGGCCCTTATATTAGTTCTTAACTTGGGCTATTAAGTAGGATAGCCCCAATTAGGACCCTTTCTAGGGCGCATAGCCGCTGTTGAATCAAGATTTGCCGATGGGAAGTGCGCTGAATGGGACAGACGGCAAATTAAATGTTGGAAACCCCCAAACCCCATTACCCCAAACCCCAAAACCTCTTAGAATTGAAAAATCAGAGATCTTTTGGGGTTAGGTCCCCTTATTAGCCCCTTTAAACCCAAAAGTGTACCCCGTTTTCATTCCTAGGTTACTCCGGGGTCTAGTCAATGGCTGTTATTCGCCGTAGCGGTCCCCGCTTGTTGGTTCTTCAGAGCCGGGCAGCGCCGTCGTAGCTGGACAGGCTGTCAACATGCTGTTGTGAGGTGCACGGGCTTGGGACTGCGCGAAGTCAGCGAGTTCATGAGCAAATGGTTGCATGCTCACAGCGCGTGGGTTGCTGTCCTGGTCGGGGCACTGAAAGGGCGCTTCATCAACCCTAAACCCGAAACCCCAAACCCTAAACCCTAAACCCGAAACCCTCTTTGCACCTGCTAAGTCCGCACCCATCAATCAAGGGCACGGTTTCGAGGTTAGGGGACCGCCACAGCCCTAGGCTTGTAGTGGCATGACACCAGCTCATGGCTTGAAAAAGTGTAAGACCCTTAACCCTGCAAATCCTATGCCCCTATGAACCCATGAACCCTATAAACCCTTTATAAGTAAAACTCGTTATGTGTGTATATATGTACACCTGTATATAATATCTATATATATATATATATGTATGTGAGTAAATATTTATATACATAGCAGCAACAGAAAATGCTCCCTTGGGCTCCGACCCTGGCTCCCTACACCCTCAACCCTCACTCCCAGATCTAAGGTGGGCACCATTCGGGTTTAGGGTTTAGGGTTATTTAGGGTTTAGGGTTTAGGGTTTAGGGTTTAGGGTTTAGGGTTTAGGGTTTAGGGTTTGGGGCCCTTAGTATGTATAGGCGTATATGAGACTTAGACAACAAGGGACCCAAACTACGAAGCCCAGACTTGGAACCTTAGACCAGAACTTCTTCTTCGGTTCCTTTAAGGGGCAAAAGGAGGGACCCCTAGAAGGGACCCTTAATCTTATTCCCTCCCCTATGTAACCCCTGTTTCTACCTTATATAGTCCCTATATACCTAAGTAAACCTTAAATGACACCCAAATAACCGCTAAAGTCCCTTAGAAGGGTTCCTGTAGTCCCTTGAGTCTCCAAATCCTCACAACCAAAACCCGAAAACTTATTGGGTTTAGAGTTTTTTTTGTTTTTGGAGGCGAGGGGGGGGGGGGGGGGCGTTTAGAGGTTGAGGGTCACAAGCAAACCCCGAAATCCTATTGCTTAGGGGTTCTTGGGCGTTTTTAGAGGTTTTGGACGTTCAGGGTAGACTCTAAGCCTTGTGGACTAAGCCCTGTACTAAGCGCTAAATAAGCCGCGCTCGTTTCACCCCTGAATCTAATGGCCTGCTGACCAAGCTCCAGTTGGTACGGTCTCCAGGACCGGGTCAAGATTGACTTTGGGTTTAGGGTTTAGGGTTTAGGGTTTAGGGTTTAGGGTTTAGGGTTTAGGGTTTAGGGTTTAGGGTTTAGGGTTTAGGGTTTAGGGTTTAGGGTTTAGGGTTTAGGGTTCAGGGTTCAGGGTTCAGGGTTTAGGGTTTAGGGTTTAGGGTTTAGGGGTTTCGCGATGCATGGAGCAGCTCGCCGGCCTCTTTTTTTTGGTGCATGCCCGGCAAACTGCCCACAATCTGCTGGCTTTGCTGGTGTAAGTGTAGCAGCTCGGGGACATGAGCGCCCGCTTGACTGCACGAAATGGGTTTAGGGTTCAGGGTTCAGGGTTTAGGGTTTAGGGTTTAGGGTTTAGGGATGGAACGCACACTTGGGTTTTCTACGCGCAGGTGTTCTCCACGGTTCTCCTGCATCGTCCCTCATCTCTTTGCTGCAATGGCTGTCTCGGATCTCTGCAACCGAATTAGACATTGAACCCTTTTTGGCTCCTAGGATTTTTTGGCGTTCAGGCTTTAGGTTTTCGGGTGCATAGGGTTTAGGCGTCTCGGTTTAGGACGTGCACCCTAAACCCTAAACCCCATAAACCTTAAACCCTAAATTGTCATGGCATCGCGCTTTGTGTTGGAGGGGCCGCTTGCGTCTTTGAGACAGATCAGGACGTGCTGCCCTGGATACCGGTCGCCCAAGCGAGAAAAGCCCTGCGCCAGCCCCAAACATCTCAGGGAGTATGTGCTCACCCTAAACCCTAAACCCTACACCCTAAACCCTAAACCCTAAACCCCCCAAAACCTTAACCACATGGACCAGTTTTTCGAGGACCCAGGGCACACCAAGTTCCCCAAACCCTAATCCGGGCTGATAGAGTTTTTCGGGTTTAGGGTTAAGGGGTTACGTAGGCTTTAGGCTTTAGGGGTTTAGGGTTTAGGGTTTAGCGTTTGGGGTTTGGGGTGTAGGGTTTAGGGTGTAGGGTTTTGGGGTCCCCTCCTAGAAGAGCCAAGGGCGTGTAAGGATGGGGACGTCAGGGGATTGCGGTTTATGGTTTAGGCCAATGGCTCCGTACACTCCCCCACACCCAAAACCTCAAACCCCCAAACGCCAAGCCCCGAACACTCCCGACAGCCCCACAAGAGGGTCCCTAAACCCTAAATCCTAAACCCTAAACCCTAAAACCCTAAACCCTAAACCCTAAACCCTAAACCCTAAACCCTAAACCCTAAACCCTAAACCCTAAACCCTAAACCCTAAACCCTAAACCCTAAACCCCAAACCGCATCGCCTCCTGGGGCTTTATAAGCGTACAGGGTGCACAGGGTCTCCAAACAGTAGCAGCCTCATAATCCCCTAAACCCTAGACCCTAAACCCTAAACCCTAAACTTCCTAACCCTAAACCCTAAACCCTAAACCCTAAACCCGAAACCCGAAACCCGAAACCCTAAACCCCAACGCTTTTGACCTCCCAAGCCCTTAACCATGGTCCCCTACCTTCTTTAAACATTAGTGTTTAGGGTTTAGGGTTTAGGGTTTAGAGTTTAGGGTTTAGGGTTTAGGGTTCTGAAGTCTGGGCCCTTGTGTTTTGCAGAATTTAGGGAGTTTAGGGGGTTTAGGGTTTGTTGAGGGTTGAGGGTTTAAGGGATTTGCAGGGCCTAAACCCTCAACCCTGAACCCTGAACCCTAAACCCTAAACCCTAAACCCTAAACCCTAAACCTGCCCCTTGCTGCAGCTGTTTCGGGCCCTGTGGGTCATCCGAAGCCGCGCAAGCGCCAGGCCGCCAGGGGTTTAGGGTTGAGGGTTTAGAGAGTGTAGGGAGGTTAGGGGGTTTAGGGAGTTTAGGGGGTTTAGGGGGTTTAGGGAGTTCAGGGAGTGTAGGGAGTTTCGGGAGTTTAGGGTTTAGGGTGTTGGCTTCAGGTGTCT